ACCGAGCATGAGTAGCTGCAATAAAGGATAACCATATAGCCGACTTACCGACTCCTAGGAGTCAGCAGTCGTAAAACAAAGTACATAAGTAAGGCAGCGTTCTATATTGTTTCCCAAATATTTTTTCTTGTATGCGTAAATAGGGCCTAGGGGGTATGAATCATGGTTTTTGATACATCTCATATATGTCTGAGTTCAGACAATGCACCAAACAAATAACAGTACAATTGTCTCTATAAAGAAAGAAAAGATTCTGGATTTGCTTGTGGTCGCGGTGCTGTCAGATTTCCGAGACCAATAGAGGTGAACTGTCTCAGGGAATTGACGACCGGAGCATTAGATTAGCCAAAGCCTGATCTACTAGGCAGCGGGGTGGTTTATGAAAACCGCTATCCATTGGGGGCAGGTGTCCAGTTTATAGGATCATACACCCTTTCGACGGGGTCCAATTCCCAAGGTGCCCAAAATACCTTGATGCCCAATGGAGCTGGTGACCACTGAAATAACCAGAAATGTGTTGTTCGTACACCTATGGCTTCCTGCGAAAGGCTCGTTTAGAAATTCCTTGATAATCCATTACAACTACTGCATGCGAAACCTTTAAAACGCCGATCTAACATCAATAGTTGTTTCAAATTCCGACTACTTCATGCACATATTACTCTGTACAGTTTCTTGGTTCATTTCCAGCACAAGTACGGAAGCTGACACGGAAAGCAAAGCGGCGAACGTATTGCCTGCTTGTCTCAGAGCGTGAACTTATTTTACCTGTTCTTTATAGAACTACTTGATGTGATCAATAAAAACATTTCTCGACGTAAATGTAGAAATTTCTTTGACTACAAAATACAGATACAACCCACGATGTGGGATGAAAATAGCAGAGGTTGGACTATAAATGACAACAACCTTTTCAAAAGAAAGGTTAAAAACGCCGAATATGAATAGACGATGTGAGCAAAGCTTAATTATACAGAGTCTGATAGTTAAGAGCGGTGAAAGATCAACATGTAATGCAACTATGTTTGTGACTGCTTTATAACTATTTGCAAGGGAGTGTTTTCTGTTTTATCTATATATTTTAGGTGTTAGGCTTTAGGTGCTCGGTTAGAATAACATAAAGACAAAAACTTCAAATCTGCCAAACAATAATTTGAACAATTAACCTTGCCTTCGGTGGACTCCCGTTAATTCTAAGGAAAACCTGTCGGGACAGTCAGCTTACATGCTAACTGGTGGATGCCATATGCCTCTGTAAGTTGGATGGGTAATTCGAATTGAAAAGATCAGCGCTATCAGCGTGGCCTCGTAGTTCATCTGGTAGAGCGTGCGCTATCCAAAAGCGTAGGCCGCGTCCATGCATGGGTTCGAATCCCACCGAGGCTACTGAACTTTTCACAATCAACATATGAAGATAAAACGAAATCCCCAAAAAATGATAGTGACCGACTCAACTCACCTCCGGACAACATGCTTCCAATACCCCAGAAGGTGCCACCCCCAATTGATGTCCCACCAACACGAGAATAAGATGTGGGACTTTCCACCTTTAAAATGCTTACTCCAGACCCGATATTGACCAGCAGAAATGGGAATGTATCAACAAGACAGTTCGAAACGAATACGTGAGCGGGAGTTGCGTGTTTATCGTAGTAGAACAATTCATCTGGGATATTGCGCAGCATGAATACACAGCCACGTATCAAGCACTCCATTTCATCCTCTTTGTTCAACTCCACTCCAAGAGTACGTGTAATTAAATCCTTAAATCGATAAGCTCCACCTCCAGTCACTTTAATAGCAGGGCGAAAGGTATCACTATCACCACGCTGAGAAGCATCTGCCCCATCAGCTTGTAGAATATTTTCCCTGATAAACTCTAAGCACTCTTCGATTTGNGGTACCGACCGTTTGTACCGGTAGGTGCGTTCATAGGCAAGTTTTGCAAGGGAACCACCGATATCCAGGGCGAACACCTTTGGGGTTACAGGAGGTTGGAGAAACTGATCGTTGGGCCGTGCTTGATTGTCGAGAGGAGGAGCAATAGCCTCCATGGCAGAAAACAGCTCTCAAAGTACTGATCTATGAATCTGAAAATTTAAATATTTCATTTAAGGAAGATTATTGAACGTATAATTTTATATCGCGCATTAAGGAACAATATTAGATGAAATAAAGGCATGTAAGAAATGCCAATGGAAAAAACAAAGGAAATTCTCCATCTGAAACTTATGAATGAGTTACAAAAAGATCATGATGACAAGCAAAAGAGCTGGTTTTCGGTGCTACATTAGCTGAATGAATACAAAACAATTTATAATAGATTACACAGGTGGTGAGAGTTAAGAAACTTCGTTCTTCGGACTCTGAGTTGGAACTGGGAAGAATACGAAATGTTATCTCTAGAGAATGGATATCTGGAGTCTTTCATTCATAAAAGCATCAGATCATATCCATCCAAGGCATTATGCGACACAGTAAACAGGAAGCGTGTCTATTTCTCCATTCCATTCAGGGGAGAAACAATCGCGAAGATATTGAGTAAACTAATTCAATCTTCCATCTCTGAACAGCAGCTCTTCGTATGTGCGGTCCGCCCCAACTGCTGTTCATCACATACTGATGTGTGATGAAAAAAAATCCTACTTTTCGGCTGAACCCGGCATTATATTCACGTCCGAACCTGTCCCCTTTATGCGGACTAAAGACAGGCTACCCGGGATGTGACCTCATTCTGTTTATCAATGCGCTTGTTCCTGTGGAGCAAGTTATGTGGGTCGAACGATGAAACGTGTATCTGACCGCATCAGTCAGCATCAGTTCAGTTTGTACAACCATGACCCCTGCACTTTCGTGAGCCGGTTTCGGTTGCTGTCTTTTGGCGGTCTATTTGGGCAAACAGTAGCAGAAGGACGACGAAGTTGAAAGTAGGATCAAAGAGGAAATTTAGAAGTTCAAAGGATTATTGCTGCAGAGAAATTGACAAGATGCCCGAACGCCACCGTTTGTGACAGCCATATTACTCAGTGTCTCTAACCATCGGTTACGATCATCCCGAGGTAGTCACCCAGGAACCTAACAGGACGCACGCGACCCAGACTCCTGGTTACGGTTTTCATACTCTCATGCCAGGTCTTAGCTTGACTACCCTGGGCTTTATTCCATCCACTACCTGCTTCGGCGAACATCGCTCGTCGTGGCAACCTATGTGGTGACATGCGTAACAAGTCCCAACAAACGTAGGAAGTCGACCACTTGCTCCAGTGGAAGACCGCCGTTACCTAAAACTACACTAGCACTCAAGCTATCCAGAAAAGCTTGTAACTTACCTGGATCTTCACTCAGCAGCACCTAGCAGCATACTCAAGATCAGACAGTCTGCCACCACGAAGTAAATCGATGCCGCTATCATCGCACGAGGATAGGGCTGACTCCATAATCAGATCTATAACAAAGTTAAATAGAAACGGAGAGAGAGGGAGAGAGAGAGAGCAAAACCCTGACGAACACCACTTTCTGCGGTGAACTCAGGCGAAAAAGTGTCGTGAGC